ATGGATGGATGGATAGACAGACAGACAGACATAGATAGATAGATAGATAGATAGATAGATAGATAGATAGATAGATAGATAGATATTTAAATAACATGCAAATATACAGCACACACACACACACACACACACACACACACACACTCACGTACATTCACACTCACTCACCCACACACAATCACATGCGTACATTCAGTACACTCATGCACTTACACTCACCCACACACATGCATTTAAACAAACTCACACTCACACACACACATACACGCACACACAATCACATGCATTCATATAATATGCTCATACACAAACACACCCACACACACACGCATTGTCACAAACACACATTAAGACACACATGCACTCACTCACACTCATATGCACACGCTTTTGCAGCACATGCATACGTGTGTTTGTGTGTGTGTGTGTGTGTGTGTGTGTGTCAGACTGCTGGAGAAGCTGATGCAGCATGTCTGCTGGTGCAGGAACGCTCTGCTGTCTCTCCTGCTGAAACACAGATATCATCATCATCTCTATAAAGAGGCGGTGATGGAGAACACACACATCTCCTCACATCTCTGCCAGCACTTTATTCTCTTACACACACCAGCCAACTCCACTTCAGCTAACTCTGTTTGCTAACTATAAAAAAACACTGGCATCTGGCAAAACATAGTTAACGGCAGATTAGAGAGTAACACACTGAAGATCAGGTATTTCATTTCTGAAATTGACATTGATTATGAGTGTGTGCAGATCTACAGCTGGAGTTCCTGACACATTATACAGGATCTGAATGTGTGCGGATTTGAAAGGGCTGTACTGTATGTTGACCTCAATGTGTTTCATGTTTAATTCAGAATGCTGATATCCACCAAGAAGACAAATACAATATTTAATATGCATCATATTGTTATTTAATGCACTGATTAATGTTTCTGTTTCAGTTGAAAAAATCCTGGATTCATTTATTGATTGATCATTCATTCATTCTTTCATTCATTCATTCATTCATTCATTCATTCATTCATTCATTCATTCATTCGTTCATTCATTCATTTATTCATTTATTCCAATCCTCCATCCATTTATTCATTCAATCATTCATTCCAATCATTCATTTCAATCATTCATTCATTCATTTACTCATTCCAATCATTTATTTATTCCAATCATTCCAGTTATTCATTCATTCATTCATTCATTTCAGTTGTCTAATCATTCATTCATTCCAATCATTCATACATTCATTCCAATCCATCCAACTATTCATTCATTCATTCTTTCTTTCATTCATTCCAATTATTCCATTCTTTCCAATCATTCATTCGATCCATTCATTCGATCCATTCATTCGATCCATTCATTCGATCCATTCATTCATTCATTCATTGATTCATTCATTCATTCAGTCATTGATTCATTCAGTCATTGATTCATTCATTCATCCATTCATCCATTCCAATGATTCATTCATTCATCCATTCATTTATTCCAATCATTAATTAATTCCCATCATTCCAATAATTCATTCATTCAAATCATTCATTCATTCATTCATTCATTCATTCATTCATTCATTCATTCATTCATTCATTCATTCATTCATTCATTTAATCATTCATTCATTCATTCATTCATTCATTCATTCATTCCCACCATTCATTCATTCATTCATTCATTCATTCATTAATTCATTCATTCATACAGTCATTCATTCCAATTATTAATTTATTTCAATCATTCATTCATTCCCATCGTTCCATTCATTCATCCATTCATTCATTCCAATCATTCATTTATCCATTTATTCATTTCAATCATTCCTTCATTCCCATCATTCCAATCATCTATTTATTTTAATAATTTATTCATTCTAATCATTCTTGTATATATATATATATATATATATATATATATATATATATATATATATATATATATATATATATATATATATATATATATATATATATATATATATATATATATATATATATATATATATAGATATATATATATATATATATATATATATATATATATATATATGGAGTGTGTGTGTGTGTGTGTGTGTGTGTGTGTGTGTGTGAGAGAGAGAGAGAGAGAGAGAGAGAGAGTGAGTGTGTGTGTGTGTGTGTGTGTGTGTGTGTGTGTGTGTGTGTGTGTGTGTGAGT